GAGGAATCAGGGTCTGCCCGGCCAACGCATCCGCAGCTGTGTCCCATGTGGGAAAGGAGACGTCAGTCCCCGCCCAGGCCCCTCCACCCCACAGCCAGCTGGAGCAGCAGTGTTGGGAGGCGGGGTGGCGGCGAGGGAGGCCCATGCCTTGGCCCGGGGGAGGGGGGCCAGATGACAGGAACCTTCTCCGCAGTCCCTCGGAGACTCTGGCGCTGGGTCCTGGCCACCAGCCCGACCCTTCAGATCCTGACTCGGGACCCGGCTGTGCTCTGTCCCCTGTCCGGCTGCTCCGTTTGGCCAGGCGGCGGCTGCACACCGCTGCAGGCCCAGTGGACAGAACCCGGCCCTCGGTGGCCTTTGTCTGGCCCACGCAGACATTTTTGAACGAAGGGAGCCCCCGTGTCGGAATCTGTAGCTATCATGTGAAAACCCGTGTTTCTGGCTCCCCTCAGAAGATCGGAGGGTCTGCAGACCTGATGGCCTGCTGTCCCCATTCCTCAGAGGCCACAGCTGGCCTTAGACAGGGCAGGAGCCCCAGTCCCCACCGCTCCCTCTCGTCTCTCCGAAACTGAGGCCAGCGGATGCCGACAATTTATCCTCTGACCCTGGCCCACTTCACTTATTTAAAATTCCTGCCTGGCCCCCAGGGGCACTGAGTTTTCAACCCTGGAGACTTTTTTTTCCCTCCGTAACCACCAAGGCCTGGGCCCTGGTTCCCACCCTGAGCACCCTAATCTCTGCCTCGTGTGAACCCCTCAGGGTCACTGTTTACCTCTCCTGTTGCCCCACAAGGCCCTGCACCACGCCCTGGGGGTGGGGGACGGGCTGGGACTTGGCCGGGGCCGTTTGGACCCGGGGGAGGCAGACCCACATCTGTTCTGAGATGTGTCAGCTGGGCCTGGTCACACTCCGCACAGCTCATCCCCGAGGCATGTGGGACCAGGGTGGTGGGCGGGGCCCGCCCCGGAGATAGGGCGTTCGTCAAGGCTGCACACAGCAGGCTCGATCTTTCAGCGGCAAACACAGTGGCTGAAAAGAGGAAGGGGGAAGAGAGAGAGACAGAACTGCTTTAGCAGAAAATGCCCCTAACATAGGGGTGGAAAGACCGGAATTCATGCCCTTAGTTGCTGTGTGGCCTTGGACGAGATACTTGACCTCTCTGAGCCACCCGCTTAAGGCGGAGCCAAGGAGAGGTCCCAGTGGTGGGAATGTGACTGCTGTGGGGCCTGAACCCCGGAGGAGCAGCCTGGAGCAGAGGAAAAAAGGGTCACAGACTGTGAGGCCAGATCAACCTGCCACTTGGGACTGGGTGACCCTGAGTGGGTCACGTCTCTGTCTGGACCCTGGAGTGCTGTCATAAGCTCTGTTCCAGCAAAGCCCTCATCAAATTATTCTGAGGGGAGAAAAGAATTTATTCATCCCATAAATTTTTTAAAAGATTTAATTTATTTATTTTTAGAGGGAAAGGGAAGGAGAGAGGGAGAGAAATATCAATGTATGGTTGCCTCTTGTGTGTCCCCTTCTGGGAACTGGCCTGCAGCCCAGGCATGTGCCCTGACTGGGAATCGAACTGTGATCCTTTGTTTCGCAGGCCTGTGCTCAGTCCACTGAGCTACATCAGCCAGGCTCATCCCATAAATTTTTATTGAGCACTTCCTGCCTGTCAGGCATGGGGGACACAGCGGGACACGAGACAGGTAAAGATCTCTGCCCCCATGGGGTTCACATTTTTGTGGGATGAACGATAATAAGCACGATACTTAAGCCCTCTGGGCCTCAGTTTCCTCATCTGTGAAATGGGGAGAGTGATAGTATTTACCTCCTGGGGTGATTAGTGAAGCCAGTGAGATGATGGGAATATACCGGGGGACCCAAAAAAAACAGAACTTATTTGTTAAAGAGTTGCATATTTATTCTTACGCGTTTAAACTTCAGTCGCCTTCAACGTACTCTCCATTTGATACAACACACCTATCGAGACTTTTTTTCCCACTGTTCAAAACAGATTCTGAACTCGTCAATTTTGATGCCTTTTAGTATTTCTGCCAGTTTTTGTTTCACCTCTTCTACATCAGCAAAGTGCTTCCCTTTGAGGACTTTTCTCATCCGGGAAAACAAAAAGATGTCACTCAGAGTGAGAATGGGTGAATAGGGGGGTGGGGCACGGGGGTCTTGTTTTTGGTCAAAACCTGCTGAACACTCAGCACGGTGTGGGCAGGTGCACTCATAAATCACCCATCATGAAATGGGCAAATGCGTTGAAAAAGTCTTCAAAAAAATTCGCCGAAGCAGAACACAGCCTCTCACAACAATGCCAGCTGGTACACAGAAACAGATGGGTTTCTAGAGCACTCACCTAGTGGGGCAAGCCTGTATTGCAAGGCCCTGCTGTCCAGAGGATAATTCTGGGGTTTTCTGGGTCCCCCCTCATGCACTCAGCACGTGAAATAAGCACATTAATGCAGCTACAATCATTCCTGCTGTTTACCAGCTGTGTGGCTCAGGCGTCACTCACCTGTCTGTGCCTCAGTTTCCTCCCCTGTGAGACGGGGTAATAACCCTGCTAATACCTGGAAAAGGCGCTTGGAGCAGCGTATGCACTCAGTGATTTCAAATGCAGAGCTTTTTAATTGAGTAAGTTATCACTGACCTATGAATAGTCCCTGCAAAACCCTTTCGTCATCCCTTTAGTCCAACAAACGTTCATTTGATGCCAGTGAACTTAAATCAGATGACGAAGAAAATTCCCAGCCTCGGGACATGCACTGTAACCCAACACCGCAAAAGAGGTACATGCACTTCTAAGGGAAAGCTGAGGAAGGTCAAGGTGATTGTATCAACCTTTCAGGTAATTATGACCATGCGGCTGTGTGACCTTGGACACGTCCTTTCCGTTTCTGGATCCTCGGCCTCTTCTGCTCTGCGGTGGATATGATAGCTTCCTACTTTTCCTGTCTAGCTCATAGGATTACGGTTTGGCTCAAACCCATCACAGCTATCATTTATTAAGTGCCTCCCGTATGCAAACTAGTGTCTGTTATCTCCCCCTTCCTGCCCACCCCTGCCGTCCCAGGACAGAAGGCCGGGTGCCACGGGTTTCTCGGGTTTCTCGGGAGAGGACAGCGAGGCCGAGGAGGTGGCTGGGGATGCAGGCCCAAGGGAGGGAAGGAAGTGGGGGGCAGGGGCAGGCTGGACTGACGCAGCTGTGATGTCAGAGACAGGCCACAGGCTGTGGCCAGCCCAGTGCTAATGCCGTGCTCTCCGCTGGCCTGGCCCTGAGCCGCTGCCTGGGGGTGGGGTGGGGGGCCGCTGGGAGAGCGGTGGCACTGCCCCCCTTAACCCCTTCCCGGCCTCCTTTTCCCAGACAGCCATCCCCCGGGCCTGGCCTTGCCCACAAGATTCCCAGATTTCACAACCGGGGCTGGCGCTGAATCATGTACAGTAAGTCCGGGGAGAAACTCCTGGCTGCCCGGCTGCCCGGCGTCCCGGCACACGGGACGGCCGCCAAGCCTGCCCTCCCTCCCGGCGGGCTGAGCGGCTGCCAGGGAGCCCGGGATCCTCCCGGCCGGCCGGCTGGCCGGCCGCTCGCTGACCAGCCGGGGTTGTCAGGCCGGACGCGCAGCCTCTCTGGGCTGCTCCAGGACCCGAGAGCTTGGGGTGTCTCCGGGGCACCTAGGAGCTCTGGAGGGCGGGGCGTGGGGGTCACCGGTGACCTGCAGAAAGTTCTCTCACCTCCCTAGGCTGCAGTTTCCTTATCTGGACAAAGAAGACACTCACAGGACTGACCTCATGGGGTCACGGTGAGGATTAAGTGAGGTGACCTGTGCGCAGCCAGTGCCCCACAGCGTCACCGTGGTGATGCCCCCGACATCCTGACGACACTCTCTAGGACCCTGGAGAAATGTTTCTGTCCTTTGGGTGACATTTCCCCTGGAACATACACCCCTTCCCTTCTGATACAAATTGCTCCAGTCTTTTAAAAAACTCTCCATTCCATTAGCAACGGACTGGTGCACTTATTGAGCACCACTGTGTCCTGGGCCCTCCACCAGGTCCTGCAGATACACCTGCGACCAGGACAGAAAAACGGAACCGACCCTGTGTTCTCAGCGGGTGAATACTCCAGTCGAAGGGATCGGGAGTTTGAATGAGTTCAGCGAGTGATCGGGGCTCTGAGGGGCAGCGCACGGGGGGAGTGATGCGGAGAGGCCCGGAGGGCTCCCCTGAGGAGGGGGCGTGTGACCCCAGACCCAAGAGCAGAGGGACATGGGGGCGCAAAGGTGCGGGGGCACTGGGGTTCAGGCCGAGGGAGCCGCGGGTGCCGTGGCCGGGTGACGGGAACCTGGGTGTGTGTGAGGACCTGCTGGTCAGTGTGGCTGAGCGGAGGGAGTGAGGGGGATACCAGGTGAGCTTGGCAGGGTGGGCACAGGGCCCTGCCCCGGACCGGCTCCCTAAACCCCAGGCCCCTCCAGAGAGTGGCGCTGCCTGGTGACCCACCTAGGCCTGTCCTCCCCTCACTGGGGACCCAGGCCTGGGAGCTGCCCCCTCCCCCAGGTCTCCGGGGAGGGCCACGCCCCTGTGCTGGGGCTGTGGCCCCGACTCCAGCTCCCTCCCCGGGGTGGGGCTGCAGACCAGAGAGAGGGCTTTGGGTCAGGGCCAGGCAAGGGCCTGGGTCACATCCCAGCGTGCCTCTCACTCGCTCAGGGCTGCAGCCACCTGCCTCGCAGAGCCTCGGCGTCCCCACCTGGGCGATGGCGTGGTGCCAACTCCCGGAGAGCTGAAGGGGGAAGGGGGCACCCTCCCCCGCAGCTCCCAGTCCCCGGCCTGGGCTGACCCCTGGGAGAAGTGGAACATCCAGGGGTCACCGGGACCAGGCTGTCTGGCCACAGCTAGGCCAAGAACTAGGGCGTGCGTGTGTGATAGGTCAGGACCCAGCAGCCGCAGGGGAGGACGGAGGGAAGGGGGTAGGAGACGGCCGGAGCCCGGTGTGGAGGCCCAGGAGGAGGCCGACAGGAGGCCTAATCAATATCCCCGTGGACATTTGAAAAATAACCGATTTATTTCTGGGAAAGTCCTTCACCGTTCCCCATCAGGTCATGGAGGCCAGCGTGGCTGTGGCCTGACACGGCACTTCTGCACTCAACCTGAGGCAGCTGGGGAGATGAAACGGAGCTGCGCGGGGCCAGCACACGTGTGTGCGAGACGCCCACGGTGTCTGTGAGGTAGGCCGGCTTCTTGGCCCCGTTGTACAGATGGGGGAAACTGAGGCCTGAGTGGGGAGCAATGTTGCCCAGGTCTCCCTGCCAGGGGAGTGGCAGAGATGGGATCTGAAGCCCAGCCTGGGTGGCTTAGACCACTCACAGCCTCAGTTGTATCTGTGCTGGAGGTCTTGGGGCCAGGATGGCGGTCAAAGCCAGATGTTTATGGGCCCCTGACACATCTGGAAATGAGCTGGCCTGGGGTTGACTGGAACCAGGTGTGACCCCTCTGCATCCTCCCCGAGGCTGGGAGTAATTACCTGCCCAGGTTAATAGCGCCCACTTCCCACTGCCTTTCATCAAGGCTCTCGGAATTGCCAGGCAGTAATTAACCCTCACAGCACCCTCTGAAGTTGGCATTGGAGGCAGACATGTTATTAAACCCATTCTTTTACAGGTGGGTAAACTGAGGCAGCGCGCATCGGGGCCTGGGAGCCTGTTGTACCCTCAGGACTTAGCAGCTCCTTCGGTCTCACTTTCTTCCCATAGGAAGGAGAGGGCTGGCCCCCAGGGACCCCTGACCCTGCGGACCGAGCGCGGGCGAGAGGCCTGGCAGGCCCTGGGCGTCCTCCCAGTTGCTGCCCTCTCACCTCTGATGTGCAGGAGCGTGCGCCTGGGGCGCATGGAAGGGGCTGGGCTCCGGCTCCGCTCGGTGACCCTGCACAAGTCACTGCTGTCCTCTGGGCCCCAGTTTCCTCCCTAGTAAGACAGGGACAACCATGCCCACCTTGTGGGTTAGTCCTGAGCAAGAAGCACAGAGCCCACCTCCGATCCGTCTCTTTTCCCTTCTTTCGCTCCAGCCACCAGGTCGGGGATTTCTGTTTATTTTATCCCGGACGTATTTATTCCCAGAGCTCAGCTCAGGGTGGGACACACGGTAGGTGCTTAAGAAATGATTGCTTTCTCCAACCCTTTCCTTGGGGGCTCCACTGTCAGCTACCAACTGGCTGTATGATCCTAGGAGCTGCTTTCCCCCACGGGGCACCAGGCGCCTGAAGGACTCAGGTAGCCTCGAACTTCCAGGTTCCTCAGCCTCGTATCTCCCAGGTAATGGGGGTTGAGGGCAAGAATGGGGGTGAAGAGAGAGCAGACACCCTCTGTTGTGCCGTTCTGGCCCCTTCCCCATTGCCTGTGGTTCAGAGACTCGCTCCGAGCAGACTCCCCCAACCAGCCGCCCCCTCCCTTGGCACGTCTGTCAGTGCCCTCGGGGGAAAGAATTTGGAAAGGGGAGGAAGAGAAAGAAAAGAAAGCAGGGTACAAGGGGACGGTTCCCACACCTGTGTAAATAATTTGTCATCTTGAAACTTGTCAAATATGCTCACCTTTAATGCCCAGTTCTTGGGCTTGTTTTCCTTGGCAAGGCCCCCACGGGAGTGGAATTTCGACCCAAGGGAGCCCAATTGTCATCTTCTAAGCGTGTTCCCAGGCCAGGGGCTGGGCAGGGCTCTCGGGCTGACGCTCCATTTCCATCCCCTGAAGTCCCGGAACGCTCCTCAGATTTAGGGAGCAGCCACCAGGTCCGGACGCTGTCTCAGAATGCTAGAAGGCTGGGCCCTGGCTGGTGTAGCTCGGCGGACTGAGCGCCGGCCTGCTAACCAGAAGGTCCCTGGTTTGATTCCCAGGCAGCACACGTGCCTGGGTTGTGGGCCCCAGTTGGAAGCTGTGTGAGAGGCAACCGATCAATGTATCAGCGTGTCTCTCAAACATCATGTTTCTGTCTCTTTCTCTCTCCCTTCCCCTCTCTCTAAAAATAAATAAATAAAGTCTTTACAAAAAAAGGAGAATTCCAGAATATCGGAATTCCAGAACTCAGTCCATTTTCCAGAGGAGGACCATGAGGCCACAGAAGGGAAGGGGTTAGCTTCAGGTCACACCCATGCAGGTGCAAGCTAGAGTTTGCCAGGAGGGCGTTGGAAGTTTATGAACTGCTCAACATCCAGCTCCCGTTTTTGAGTAATTACACCCTAATTTCCTCCTGGAGGATCCTCTCTTCCCCTAGCCCAGCTCATGAGGTCCGAGTGGTGTGTCCCAGGACCCTGTCTGCAGGGCTGGGCCCATGACCAGGTCTGGCTCTAGTGACCAGCCCAGGGATGGGCACGTGCCTCAGTCTGCCCGGTGAAACTTGGTCCTGGGGCCTTGGTGGCTGGGGATGATTCGGAGAGGAGATTCAATGCTTCCATTGCATGGAGAGCGGGCAAATAAAAGCTGGACACATCAGGGGACATTACAGGGAGAAGCTACCCGAGAGGAAGCACCACAGAGCTGGACAGGGCTTGAATCCCTGGATCCAGCCATCCCTGAAGTTAGGAAGCAGCTTGGGCTGGTTTTCTGTCACTTGCACACAGTAGGTGCTGACGGACCCAGGACCTGGAGGCGGGAGGGAAGAGATTCCAGGCAGAGGCAGCGGTATGTGCGTGTAGCGCCTCCCAGGCAGCAACGCCGGCCACTTCACCGGCCAGGGGCACCCCGCTCCTGACTTCTGTCCCTAGATCAGTTTCGCCGGTTTTTGAACCTTCCGTCTGGTCTGTTTCCTGTTCCTATACATTCGCCTGTTCCGCGGCATCATCTGATGGGAGTACCGCAGTGCGCTGCCTTTTGATTCCGGCCCTGTATCACTCCTCACGCACGGTGCTGTCCAGCTGCACCGGTTTCGCCGTGCGCTCCCACCGCGCTGCCCCTGGTCACCGCCGAGTAGTACTCCACGGGGCAGATGCACGGCGGCTCGCTCACCCACTCCCTGCTCAGGGCTGTTTGGGCCGCTTCCAGCTCCTGGTGACTCGAAGCAAAGCTGTGACAAACATGTGCAAATGGGTTTTGGGTGCGAACATGAATTTTTATTTATCTTGGGGAAATTTCAAGGAGTAGGATCGCTGGGTCATATGGTAAATGCCTATTTGACTTAACCAGAAACTGCTGAACTGTTTCCAAAGTGTCTGGATGGACCGTTTTGCATTCCCACCAGTAATGTATGCGTTTCAGTTGCTTCCTGTCTTTGTCAACGCTCGGTATCGTGAGGTGTTTTGCTCTTTTGTTTCGTTTTGTTTCCAAATTTTAGCTGTTCTAGAAGGTGCAGACTGGTATGTCATTGTGTTTTTAATTTGCGTTCCCCTAATGAATAATGATGCTGAGGGCTTTTTTTAGGCGCTTATTTGCCATCTATGTATTTTCTTTGGTGCAGTGTCTGTTCGAACTTTCTGTCCGTTTAAAACACTGAATCATTTTCTTATGAATGGGTTTGGAGGGTTCTCTGTATATTTTAGGTACAAGTCGGCCTTTTGTCAGGGATGTGTTTTGCAAATATTTTCTCCTAGTCTGTGGCTGCCTCTTTTGTTCTCTTAACGGGTAGACTTCAATAATGTTGCTTCGCTTTTATCACGATGATTTTTCTGGTGACCTTTGGTTTGTGGCAAGTGTTCTCTGGTCTTTGCTTTCAAATCAAGGGATGATATCTCATGTTTCCTTTGAAAATAAATGTGTTTAAGTAAAAAGGTAAGTTGACTCGAAGAAAAGTGTTAAGTAATAGAACTGGAAAGCAGATGGCATAAACATCATGGAGGCAGTTACTTGAATAACCAGTGTGGGCAGCTTTGGTCGACTAAATATTCAATGAACAACTATTGATTGAACACCCACTATGTGCCAGGCTCTGTCTCAGGTGCTGGGACACCGTGATGACCAAGAGGCACAGTTGCTGCCCTTTCGGTGGTGGTTTCTCTCCAACGAGCTCCTCTTCATCCTTCAAAACCCGACCTGAATGGTCCTTCCTCCATCCAGCCTTCCCTAGACGTATGCTTTGGATGTATGCTCCATCCAGCCTTCCCACCATACTGTATGCTTTGTGTTTCCGTGAGGGTCTTCCTGGAATATGACCAGCAGCCTCTGGTTGGGTTCCACGGAGCCTGGTGCGTTGGTTCTCAATAAACAGCACCTTACAAAGTAGGTGCTAGTATGAGATCATGAGACGCCAAAGCAGAGTTTGCTGATTTCATGGCTGGAATCAGCCAGGTCCACCCTGATGATATGGCCCAAAGTCCCTCCCCACTACACTCCGGACTGACCCCGTGCAAATCAAGGTCATCCTCCTTGGCCTCCCCTCCCACTCACAAAAGACACCAAGAGAAAAGGACTCCCAAACCCAGTGCCTTTAGCTACCCGCTTTGCTGCCCACCAGCACTCGCCAGGCATGCCTTTGTTCTTACCTGGGCCTGATGTCGGCTCCCCCTGGCCTCCCACCACCCTTCTCCTGCCCCTCCACTCTGCACACCAGCCTGCTTCTGGGCCTCCAGCATGCCAAGCTCGTTCCCAGCCCCGGGCCTTTGCACCTGCTGCTCCCTCTCTCTGGAGCCCTGTTTCTCTAGCTCTTTGCATCGCTGGCTCCTTCTTCACTCTCAGTGCTGAGCCCAAATGAGCCCTCCTCTGAGGCCCTCCCAGGCCATTGTAGTGCACGGCCGTTCTACTTTTCATCCCATCATTCTATTTATTTTGAATAAATAGAGTACCAATGACTGTTGTGCCAATGGCTGTCACTTCAGGGTTTATTTACTGGAAGTATATTTGCTTACTTGTCTATATAAAAATCAGTAGCAGGAAGGCTGCAGGATTTTGGTTTGGCCTTCTCTGTCCCTCCAGTGCCTGGCACAGTGCCCAGCACATAGTAGGTACTCAGTAAGCGTTTGCTGAATGACTGAGTGACTGAATGAGTGTGTGAACTCTCCCTTCCCAAGATGCACTCACAGCAGAGTTGTCAGCCCATGTGTCGGACTAACAGCCCTCTGAGCTCCTCCAGGGTGGGACCCTGTCTTCCTTTTTGCTCCTACCACCCCACCCTCGTGTGCAGCCCAGTGCTGAGGGCTACCCCCCAGGTCCACCAGGCTCGTGTCTTGCCAGCTGCCCAGCCTGGGGGCAGGAGTGGTTCCACCACTGTGGGAGCTGGCCTGTCAGAAGCGTTTCTCAGGACCATGGACTCGAGCCACGGGCCGTGGATGGGGCTGGTGGTCGCTGTGTGCGGTTTAGGGACCCTGCACGGAATCTCATCCACACTCCCCGTGACAGAGTCAGTTCAGCTCCACTTCACGCTCCTGGTTGTGCCACAGGAAGGAAAAGTTCCACTTGGGGCTTGTGTATCTTTACCCCCTTCCTACTTCCCAGCAAGGAACACAGAGCAGATCCAATGTTAAGCCATAAGCAGCGGTGGTGCCTGGCTTTGTTTTCCTTCTTTGTATAATTTGCTGAGTATCTTGTAGCAAGAGCCTTAGGTGGGGTTCCCCTAGAAGCAGATCCCTAAGAGATCTGAAAATTTGAAAGCCAGCCGTTTATTTGGGAGGTGACCCCAGGAAACACTGGTAGGGAAGCAGGGGAGTGAGATGAGGAAGGAAGAGGAACCAGCGCAGACAGTCATCAGGCAAGCAAGCGCCGGGCCCCTGGGGCTCAGTCTACTGTGGGCCTCTGGCATAGACTCAGCCCCGCTGGGCTGTCCACGCGGGAGTGGGGGTGGGGTGGCGAGCGAGCTGAGGACTGTATGCACCTGTCCCTGCCATCTTGGATGAGGGCCCTCCCTGGAGCATTCATTCCCAGCTCTCCTTGCTCCCGCAGGTGGGCAGAGCCCACAGGTAAAGAGCAGGTGCTGGCAGCTGGAATTTGGTCTGTGGGAGGGGATACAGGTGGGGCACCACCAGCAAATGCGTCACTCTTAATGCTGGTTTCTCATTTACAGCAGGGATTAAATGTTTCCTTGAAAACCAAGTCTAAGTACAAATTTTAAAAAGCGAGTTGACTTAAAGGAAAAGTACCTAAATAGTGTACAGGGGGTATGAGGCCAACACTGCTGTTTTAAAGGGCATGCCAAACTTTTGACAAGCAGACACACCTCCTGGGGGACCCTCCAGGATGGTGGGTCTGGTGGGAGCCGTGGGAAGACCACCCTGCTCCTCCCGGCATGCCTGCCTCGCACCCACCCCAACACTTCTCTGCGTTCCTCGGGGTCATGGAAGCCGGCCGTGAAGCTTGACGCCCTTTGTGCCCTTCAGTCTGTCCCGTAACGTCTCTAGGTCTGTCTGTTCGAAGGCTGTATCCTGAAGTCGCTGGAAAGAATCAGTGTGTGACGATAGCCAAGACAGTCTGAAAGAAGGCCAACTAAAATCCCAAAAGTCAGAAAGCAGGTTGGAAGACTCGGGTTTTCCAGACAGTGGAATATACGACAGAGGTACAGAAAATAAAACAGCATGGTATTGGCATAGAAATGGGCAAATGCACCAGGAGAATAGAATGGAGACAGTACAGAAATTAACCCACGCATCAGCTGTGCTGCCTAATGGATGCAAAAGAGTTTGGAGATGGAGGGACATCAATTAGCATGGAATTCTCTGGATTATGTCGGGGGTGGGGCAGTGGCTTCCCCCCATCTTTGGTCCTTCCCTTAAGATACCTACAAAGGCACTGGGGTGACTTGCCCTCATGGGGTGACATCCCCACATCCACCTGGGAGATCTCAGAAGCCTCCAGCACAGGATGAGGTGGAAAACAGGCGACAGCGAGGAGCACGCTCCTCCCTCTGGGTTCTCTCTGATTCTCCTGACCCACCCACGGAGAAAGCCTCCCTTGGGTGCTGGCGGGCCTTCCACCTCTGCCC